AGAAGACTTCCAACATCAAGTTTTCTATTACATTTCTAACATCTAAGTACACATATTGAATACCTTTGATGTTGCAAATTAGTTTATTGCTAGGAGAAACTTAAAACCTCTAAGCTCAACATTTGACAGCAGAAATGATATTTTACTGGTAGGGAATTTCTCACACTTTAGTGTGTGTATGCCCAAAATGCTGAGCTAAAGATCGGAATTTTCGAGAAATTTACTACGCAACATTTCACAAACTTATTGCAAGAGGTCAATATCTTCACCATGTGCAGTAGACGGCTAGCGTATGGAAACTTTCTTTTTGGTTATTGTGCAGATAGAAAAATATTGGTCAACCTACGGCACTTCAAAATCTAAAAGTTCGATTACTTTTGGGCAAGATCCAAATTTTTCGATAACTAAGGATTTCTCCTGCTCGAAATTTGATGGTTATAGGGCTCTCCTGCAAACATTTCATTCTAGTTCCTTACTTTTGCGATAGTGTCGTTTGTATTAAAAAAATACCGGTAAAATTCTTGGAACTGCAGTTGAACCATAGAATTAACTTCACTTTTAAAGTATTATTAATTCTATAAATAATAAAATACAATGTACTTACATGGCCATCAATAATAGGTGGCTCGGCACCATAACCCATCGAGTACATAGGAATATAACAGCTTGCCATTAAACATTGCAACAAGTGCTCTCTATTTTTAAATTGACATACAAGGTGATTCTTTCGCTCCTAAAAAACTCTCGCAAATTCGTAAATCTAGTTTGAATAATAAACGTACTTTTCTTATAGTTAACGAGACATAAAGCCGTCCTTGTGCTGGCGTGATATCTTCAGGTAGGAAATCGTCAACGATCTGAACTGAAGGAATAGTTCTACATAAGTTGAGATTTACGAATAACTGAGTCCCTAATGCCCTAACTCAACTACATACTTTATGATTTCATAAAAAGTTAAGAAGTTAGCAATTAATATTATCCTACACAGACTGGTTTCACCAAGAAAAAACATTATATCGCCACCCAACAAAACTTTGGAAAATCACAGGTAACTTTAAGGTCGCTGCAATCGAAATGCGTAACTTATTGGGAAGGACTAAAAAAGCAATCATTCCTACTTTAAAATACCAATAAAAACAAAGTAAATAGGTCTAGTTTTTCTGAGGATATAAATAAAGTAAGAAATACCTTGATCAGTTTTTCATTCAGATAGTAGCCCGGAGTGAGGGCACCGAAATTTAAGTTCATGAGCTCTTCTCCCAGATCGTACAGAACTTTTGTAGCAGAATCCATCCTGAACTGTCTGTTTAGATTTCATGGATACATGGTCGGCAGTGGCAGAGAAGGGAGA